TTGTGACTGAGATATTTCACCCAGCATAATATCCTCCAGGGTCATGCATGTTGCGTAATATTTCATGAGTTCCTTGTTTTTCAATGCTGCATAGTATTCCATTGTGTGAATATACCAGAGCTTCTCTATCCATTCATTTGTTGATGGACACTTGGGTTGTTTCCAGATCTTTGCTATTGTAAACAAAGCCGCAATAAACATGGGTGTGCTTATATCTGCTTGGGTTGCGTTTATGGTTTCTTTTTTTTATTATTATTATTTTGTGTGTGTGTGTACCATCAAATTGGATCTGACTGGTACAGGAGGAGATTGCCCCTCCTTCTGCAGCAGAGCATCTGGTGTGCTTTCGGAATTGCAGTGCAGCTTCTTGCCACTAGGCCACCAAAGCTCCCTGCGTTTATGGTTTCTTTAGGGCCAAGCTGTAACTCTTAGCAGGAGGAAACCACCCATCTTTCTCCTGTGGAGCAGCTGGTGGATTCAAACTGTCCACCTTTTGGAGACAACACAGCACACTAGCACCGTGCCACCAGGGCTTCTTACCTTTTAATATACCTTCATCAATTTTTTTTTCACTCAGTCATCATCTTCAAAGAGCCAAGGATAAACAAGTGGCATTAAGGACAGAAGCTTTCACCTTTCGTTTCCAGATGGTTGTATCCAGCCCACCACCAAGACTTGACATTTCAGATTGACATTCTGTCTTTCATAGAAATGCTGTTGTAAGCAGTGAACTCAGTAAATTTACACAGTGGGGTGGGAACCTCCCCCGGGAACCCCCCCCCCAAAAATCTAAATCAGCCTTCAGTGGTGACAGACACAAGTGACACAAAAAGCCACCTCAACGTAGGAGTGAAACAAAAATATTAGTCCTTTTCTCTTGTGACCTAGTGGTAAGAGGCTGCACTGCAATCCCAAAGGCAGGCAGTTCAAATCCACCAGCTCTTCTGTGGGAAAAGGATGGGCAATCCCCTCCTGGTAATTTACTGTCTCTGAAAACCCTCCAGTGATGTGCTATAAGTCGGTTCCAACTCGAGGACACACACCAGCAACAGCACATAAATACAGGAGCCCTGGTGACCTAGTGGATAGGGAGCTGTGCTGCCAACCCAAAGGAGGGGAGTTCTGTGCCAACTGACAGCAATAAGTCTTTTTATAACAGACACAAATGACATTTTAGAAATTCTCTTCCTTTTAAAAAGCTATTTGAGGTAAAGTAAGGATAGCCTGCTGTTGTAATGTTGTTGTTGTTGTGTAC